CTAATAGTTTAAACGAGCAATATGACTGAACGATTTCTGATTTGAAGTTGGCAAGGGCGGATTTGCCGGAGCAATGCCGAGAGGTCGGAACTGGGCCAACTATTAATCGTTTCGGTCAACGTTTCATGTTACATCATGATGTCGTATACAGGATTATGTGTTCGGGTTAATTTACAAATTTTGGGTAATAAAATTTCTCTCCCCACGGTTGGAATGGTGCTTAATATTGTGTTAAGTACAAACTTCGCGGCAGTAGAGGGCGCTAATTAAAGTTTACTTGTGGACCAAATGTAACTTGAACTCTTTTATGCGCACCTCCATAAGTTTATACCAAAAATAATGAAAATTTGACTAGTATATAAGTGCTCTGCCATCGCTTTCATTATTAAACTGTAGTAATCTATATAAAACACGTACCATACACTCGAATAAATTGATCGATGGCAAACTTCAGATCAGAGGCAGACATCATACAATGACGCGGATATTTTAATACTATTATGCTTACATATTGTTATGTTTTATTTTATAAGAATAAGAAGAATAAGAAGTTTTTGTTTTTTTTATTTTATTTATTATTTCGAATATTTTAATTATATTTTGTTATGTTTATTTTAACATATATATTTTTTAATTTCCTCAAACCAATGCTCCAATATGATAATAACTTTTCAAAATTTACTTCATTGTACCTTCTAACTTTTCTACGATCTATAGTTGCCTTTTACAGTCAATTTAGTTCAAAAATTTACATTCTTGCTTTATTTTGACAGATTGATTTAATTCATTTAACGATTTTGCCTTTTTATACTAAAAACTTATTCTATATTTAAATTTTATCTTTCATTTCCTCATGTTTAGTATTCCACATCCCTGTTGTCAGTTTTTTCTACTTTTCTTTCACGTAAATATGTCAAAATTTCAAAATACGTTATGATTTCTATTTATTTAACGTTTCAACTCAAAATATTAAACAATATATTCTTATAATTTAAAGAGTGCAGTTATAAGAATTCAATGGTTTAGTTTCCAATGTACAGGATGGTCAAAATCCTAAACGTAAAATTAGAGTTAATGATAGAGGTGGATTAAAACGGAGATCTATGAGGTAAATATATTTTGTATGGCCATTTTTTCATTTAGTAACAAAATTTGAAGTTTCAAAATTTTTCGCATAGAAATTCGTCTGAATATGAAATTTTATATGAAAATGGGGCTTTACCTTTATAGGAAATAAATATTTTACTATTGACATAACCTTTCAGGAACAAAAATAGGGAATAACAAAAAATATTGGTCATTATGCGTTTGCGTAACAGTTTTTAGACAATTAATTTATTGGATCCAAATGAAAATCTTGTCATGAGTAAAATTAACAACATTTCCTTTCTGTTAATTATTTTTTTATAAATAGGAATATATTGGTTCATATTTTGGGTCGATTATAGAGCTTAAATATATGGCTCGTGATCATCAAAAATGAATATTGCTCGCTTGATTGCCCAGGACTGTGTGGTGGTCCCTAAAATTTATGTTTGTCGAACGCAGAGCGAGCACTAAATTCAAGTTTATGAATTACGTCGGGCGATAATGGTGTATGCCTCCACTAATCGCTTCCTTTTGTCGGATGTGCGGCTTTAAATCTATAATTCAGTAATTGATCTTCAGCTGAATTTTCTTGACGGGGTCATAAATTTCTTTAAAGGAGTCATTTATCAATAGCCACTCTTAAAGCCCTCTTTATTTTATCTGATTTGCATTTTTTGTGACTAATGGCGTTTCAAAAGCAAAGCCAATTATTTTACCAGTCATGCTTCCTGGGACGAATATCATTTTATTCAACATTTAGTGTCACTGTTATCAATAATTGAGAAATTCTGACGTATGTTTATTACGTAAAAGTGATAGTGACTTAAAAGAAAAATGAATCAAAAGTCTGGTGAAAATAATAATTCCAAAATCAAATAAAGAAGTAGGTCAAGTATCCACTAACAAAATTCAAAAGTGTAGTGAAAAATTTCAGTGCAGTGAAATTAAAAATTATGAGTTCAGTCAAAAAAGTAATTCTAAATTTTAGCAAACCAATGGAAAATTACTCGAAATTAATATTTAAAGAGTACGTATATTTGAGTGAAAGTAGTCAGTTTTAGTTTAAATATAATCACAAACGGGTAAAATGACCAAATGCCCAGTATTGAGTGAAAATATACTCTTTATTGCTTTCTTATTGCTTTCACTAACATCGGTTTTTTTACAGTGTACTCATAGGTATTTTGATAACACTTCATAGTTAAATATCTACCATCTGATGTTTCTCTATGGAAAGTTTCATGAAAAGAATAATAAAACCGTTTTAGACTCGTGCTCTAAGCCCTTGATGTTATTAATACATCACTTTTAGTTGACGTTAAGACTGCTAAGACTGTATAAAAACATTAATTAACACATTTCATTTCGGAGTGACGAGAACTCGTTAGCGAAAATTCCAAACACGTCATTAGAGACTTGTGTTTCATTTTAAAATTAAAATTAAAATTGCCAGCATACAACCTAATTGTGTTTCTCATATTTTAAGTTTCCTGGGCGGACGGCTGAATAATAAACACATCGATGTAATTTAAAATAATGTCGCGTCGGGCTGTTAATTGTCGAATTTATTTTTTTCAATCTCCTTATCAAAGTGGAGGCGGCGTGACTGACGCTTCTTAATGCTTTCCGAATGAAGTGAAAAATTAAGTGAGTTTTCAGAATTTTGCATTTAGAATGAATACCATTAGGTGGATTAAATGGAAAAGATGTAAAACATTGCAATTTCCCTTCTTTATGATAATAAAATATAAATCCATGTTATAATTTGAAAAAGTTATTCTTTGGAATACTGAAAATATTCAATAAGTGGTAGTGTAGATTTACAGGAAATTCTAATATATGGCGAATGCGCTGGTAATTAAAATTCTCTTAAAACTTGATATAAAATTTTATTTATTTATAAACACATCATATTTTTTTATAATGACAAGCTTATTAAGTTATTATTTTAGGTTAGAAAGTTAGGAAATATTCAGCAATTAATAATAAAGAGGCTTGTAAGTTATTTTCAGTTTGTTGTGAATAAACAGGCTCTGTTTTTTACCAATTATAGCTAGCAATGTTAGTAACCGACCAAATTTTCATTATTTTCAGGCATTTTTAATGCAGAAACCATTTTCTTTTTATAGAAAATAGACAATTTTTCAATAATTATCACAGCCACACAAAAAAAAAGTTGTCTGTAGGTACTTATCATGCGACATATGTTATCCGTAGTATTTTTGCATCCTGATCACGAATCCGGTGTCAGAATTGAGCTATCACATCGCAGGAATTTCCTAACCTTAAAAAACTGGTCAAAAATAGCAAAAATTCACGAAAAAGTACTAGAAAAAATACAATTTTTTTTTATTTTGAAATGTTCATTTAAATGGTTAAGACCCCGCCGAACGTGAATCCGCGGTCAGATTTGATGGTTATTTTTCTAACCTCAAAAAAGCGGGTCAATTAAGGACAGATAAATATCACGAATTTTCCAAAAATAACAGATTGGCCCGAAATTTGATATGCAAGGGTTTTTGAGGTCGCTGATCACGGATCCGACGCCAATTTTGCAAAATTCAAGATGGCGGATCCAAGATGGCCGACCAAATTTTCAAAAAATAACACATTCGTGCCTAATTTAGTATACTGGGGGGTTCGGGGTCTCTGATCACGGATTCGCCATCTTGAATTTTGCAAAATTGACGTCAGATTCGTGATCAGCGACCCCAGAAACCCTCGTATACCAAATATGGCGCGAATTTATTATTTTTTGAAAATTTGGTGGGCCATCTTGGATCTACCATCTTGAATTTTGCAAAATTGACCCCGGATCCGTGATCAGCGACACCGAAAACCCCCGTATACCAAATTTAACGCGAATCTGTTATTATTTGAAAATTCGTGATATTTGACCTTAATTGACCCGTTTTTTTGAGGTTAGAAAAAGAATCATCAATTCTGACCGCTAATTCATGTTCGGCGGGGTCTTAAAAATATAAATGAACATTTGAATATAGAAAAAAACATTTTTTTTTGTATTTTTCCTAGCACTTTTTCGTGAATTTTTGCTATTTTCGACCTGTGTTTTTGAGGTTAGGAAATTCATGTGACGTGATAGCTCAATTCTGACACCTGATTCGTGATCAGGAGCGACAGACAACTTTTTTTTTTTGTTATAATCCACACAATCCTGGGTTCAAATCTAGAAAAAAAAAACTCTAATTTCGACAACACTGGACTGCTTCTTGTTACATAAAACTCTTCTGGTGGCCTATATACTCATTAAAATAGTTTACGTGCATTATTAACAAATCAGTGGATGCATAATTAAAAGTTTTCCAATTCTGGAAGTTTTTGGGGGAGCACGATGTGCAAATGAGTAAGATTTTCCCGACAGATGTATCTATATCCGTTTACAAATACTTATTCAATTTTCGTGGAAAATATACCACAGACTGTTTGGGAAAGTTTCTGAATTTTTAGTTCAGTTTCAGTTAGGAAGTTTAACTTTGAATCTCGATAAAGTTCCCGAGCGTTATGTTTAATTTACCAGTATTTTGTATTATTAAAAATTAAATGGGATGTCAGGAATTATCCTAGCGTAGAAAATAGGTTACTGGAATCAACTAGTACTGTTATATTGTGCAGGACATTTAATCATAAAGAAGAAAGAAAAAAGAAAGTATATTATTTGTTTCTGAAGCTTCGTTCAAATTATTCTATTTTTTTATTTATGATAAAGTAGAGAAGATTTCAAAAAATAGGAAGTATTTTTAATAGCTAATATCTATTGAGATAGTCAATTGAATGTAGTATCGTTTTAGTTAGAAGTTTCTTCTATGGTATACGTCTTTGTTTATTTTTTTGTAATAAACAGATTTAGGGCAACTTATTTCTATAGACAAATTAGCGAAAGTGAGACTTACCAGTGTCTCTGACCCAGTAATTGATGGATTTTGGATAGGCTTCCACGTTGCACTCGAGGGTGACGTCAGTGCCTAGAGGTGCTCCGACGAGTTGGTTTGGCACGTGAATAACTGGATGAACTACAAGAAGTAAAGGATTTTAGTAAAAATTTTTATTTAAAATAAAAAGCGGCAGTCGTACTTAGAGACAAATTTTATGTGATGCTTTGTATTAAGGTTTGGTTTCAGCATGTTTAGTTAAGAAATCATTTGCGCATAATTTTAATTAACAGTATTTGATCAGTACAATGTACCTTGATATGATTATGCCTTTACCAAGAAGTTAATGGATGATTCCAATTTATTATTTATTGTGTGTTATAAAGAATGATTCGAATTAGATGCAATAACTGAAATCTCAGAAACCGTCAGAGATAGAGAAAGATATTAAATTGGAGCAAAGATTAATGTGTAACAATTATCTGGAAAAAAGGGAAATTTTTGAAAAAAATGCAAAATGTTCTAAATTCGATTTTGATGTTTTCCAAGTTTATCTAAAGAGGCGACACAAAAATAGAAAAATGACGGCGTTTTCTAACATTCAATCGTCATTTACTCGAAAACTTTCCTATGTAAGATGGCAACATTTCAATACTGTCGGATCGACAATGAAACGATCTTTCAGAATCAAGAAATAAAAATAGGGGGTTGCCATTTAAAAAAATGTCGATGACGTCATTACTCGAAAACAAATGACGGTTGAAAATCGCCTTTTATGCTAAAATATGTATTTTTTAAATTAAAAATCGACCTGTTCGAGGATTTTTCCCAAAAAAAATTTGTTTCGTTTTTACTGAATTTATTCCATACTTTAGGCGCGTACTGTATTCGTGTTT